AAATGTCCGTTCTCAGTTCTTTTCGTACCCTGAGAAGCATTCGCCCTATACTGCCTGTATGTCGTTATTGGTTATAACGGCCGGCGCACGGGGAATTAAAGTATTCTACTCCAATTCGTGCATATCATCTTTTCTTCACTATCCACCATCTGTCACAAATCACCAACTCTGGGCTTCGCACACACCGGCGGTTTTCTCAACCAGAGAATTAAGGTCTCAGTATAGCTATCATGCACCGCCCATTCTGGAGTGACGAAATTGGATGCCTGACTGAGCGATCGGAGGTGTGTGCGCCTCAGAATACTTGACATAGACCAATACTAGGTCCCTTCACTCACACACTTTTTCACTCTTTTTTTCACTCTAACTTTTTAAATGTAATTAGATTAACTTTAGGGTTGTACGGCAGTGAAGCCTCAGTGTCAACAATGATGTTTCAGTTTCTGATGGTGGTGAAGACCTACGAACCTGAACACTTGGAGTTTGTTGTATAATTTTGCTTACCTTTGTGTCAATAGCACCTTAGAATTTCGAACCAACTTCTTCCTTTTGATATTTGAGATCGTCATATCCAAGGGTGATTCTAAGCTCAAAATCAGAAACCTCAATAATTATGTTCTACTGAGTGAAATACACTCATTTGCATACCGGTTCGATTTTCATTGGGGGTCTAACTGATTCGCATAAGTTGTGTGATCCTTTGATCTTGTGCCAGTCATCTATGAAGAAAAAGACTCCATCATAATGTATCTCAGGAGGCTGCGAGCTATCAGGAAATCACGCACCTAAGTGTTGCACATTAACAAACGAACCAATGTCAGAACCGAACAGTTAAGTGCTCAACTATCAGCTAACAGGTCGTGAGTTCGAATCTCCCTGAAATTTCTTGAGATGCACAATGCTGATAATTCCTAATAAGCTTGAAGCAGTTGTACAGTACATCCCAACTTTTCAGCATAAAGTGGTTTCGTGTGTGGGACGAATTTTCCAGTGAAACCAGTGTAGCCTGGGAATTCACGTCCTTACATGATAAGGGGCTTGAAGCAGTTGTACAGTACATCCCCACTTTTCAGCATAAAGTGGTTTCGTGAGCGGGACGAATTTTCCAGTGAAACCAGTGTAACCTGGGAATTCACGTCCTTACATGATAAGGTGCCTTTGAGGCTGAATTGGAACGCTGCAGAAAATCGGACCTCAGTTTGCACACCTCCGGTACCTAAAAATACCCATCGTCCTAAGTAAATTTTGTCTCTAGGTCGTTCTGAGGCTGAATGGGAATGCTGCAGAAAATCGGACCTCAGTTTGCATACCTCTGGTACCTGAAAATACAAAAGTCCTAAGTAAATTTTGTCTCTAGGTCGTTGTCAAAAGCTAAGGAATACATATGTCGTTTCATTTTGCTTGTTTGTGTTTACTACACTCGATGGCGCCTGAGGGAGTGCAAACAGGTACTTTATCCTAATAAATATTTTCTTGTATTTTCTACACCTCCTCATAACTTAGAGAGTGGTCTCACGTGGAACAACTCAATGGTCCAAATAAACTGCCTTACTGTGGTTGGCGCTCTCATATTCTTCGTACAACTTTGCTGTGTTTGCTCGGAATCTGGGATTTTCCACGATCCACTTGAGATTTGGATTTCCACTTTGAGGGCATCCGAAACAAGGACACTTCTAGGAGTACAACAACATTCGTCGGGAAAAGTGTACACTCGTGGTTTTGCCAAAAGCAGTCTTGGAACTATTTTGTTCCCTGTTGTGATTCATTCCGATGAATCGGCCACCGAAGGTAAGTAGGCGGATGCACGTTTTCTGAATGAGCCAAATGTTCCCAATTAAATTTTGGGTAGATTACTGTCGTAGATGAAACGTATGCGTGAAGCTGATTTGTATCAGTGACAGGGGACATGTAAACAAGATTAGCAATTTTGGTGAAAAATTTCACAAATTCATCCCAGTTGGACAGAGTACATTACAATAATATGAAGTAATTCTTCTGAGTTGTTTCTGCTTTTCCTAATTGTCATCGGCCAGGTCTTTTGCCTTTGGCATTGAGAGTGCTGTTGAGTTTTTATTACCTTTCTACATTGCTGGCCACCTGAATTAAGTTTGTAATCGATGAGCTTCCTTTTCACATCTTTGAACTCGAGGAAAGTTGTCATCATGGGATTTTTATACGGTCTGATTGATCTCATTCTCTAGACTCTCAATCAGTAGGAGTGAGGTTCGTTTGAAACGATCTCGCTGAGCCCAAACGGACAGTCTATGGCCGCAAGCTCTGTTGTTATGTCGACACCACCAGAAGTCTCTTACCACAGTTCATCTGAACTTGTTCCTTGTCACGGTACCCATTCTGAAGTTATTAGCGTACATGGTAGCTCAGCATCCCCTCCCCAGGAGAGCGTATCACCTAAAGGAAATTCTCTAACAGAGAGCGGAATTTTTCTTTATCGTTTTCTGTCGGTCTGAAAAATATAGCTTCATGGAAAGGATAAGCCTAGGAGGAATTCAATTGCATAAACACAGGCAAGAAGTTTAGACGTTAGATTAGCACGAAACCTTGTCTGTACATATTCTTTCTTACTCAAGAATGAATTAATCACTCTATAAGTCTCAAAACTAACTGTTTCAGTCATTTATTTGCTCTCTACCAGAGTAGGTTGACAAATAACTTACGTGGGTCAGACAATTAGATTACCATGGAGGTTCAGACGTATAGAATTCCAACTGTTTTGCAAGTAAACCTGGTCCCCGTTGAGTGCTTTTGGTGTCCAGTAGCATTGGAGCGTGCAGGTATTTCGTACAGCGAGGACAGCACCATAACTGGTGCCAACTTCGATCGGCCAAGAATTCAAGTACCTCCATATTTGGCTTTCTAAATTTCAAATCGATGAGCAAACAACTCACTAACGTTGCCGAGTACTTTTTATCTAATCTACCCAATACCAAGGAAGGCGACTACTTGCGATGGCTGCAGGCCAACGGACGCTTTTATTGCCGAAAAATGTTTGCACTTCTGTTGTACCCGACAACAGCTGTGAAGTAGCGTTCTCCGGGTAATGTGGAAATCTGAAGGAACGTTGAACTGCCTTTGTCACTCCAACTTGTGATTATAGGGAAGTCATTGTTGAGGAGATCCGAGCCCTTTACGAAACCAGATGAAAACACCAACACGGTCACTACTACTGAATACAACCAAGTTTGTCCAGATTAAAGGAAAATAATCAAAAATGGGGGAAAAATAGACCCATCCCCATCTATATATTAAATAATCTATGGTTTCTATCCCTTGAAACACAGCTGACCATAATTCCTTATACGGATAGATGATAACACTGGCTAATGCATGTCGAGTCCCCCTTCAGCACCCTGTTCACGATATCGGAAAAAGATTTCGCAAATTAAAAAGATGAGTTGAAGCCATGTTGGTATTCTTGGAAGGAGTGACGAGACTTTCTGGGGATGGCAGCTGGTCATTTTATACCCAGACCCGCGAATTAGTACATATCCAAGATGGACACGATTTCTTGGGTCCAGACGATGTGACATTACCATGTCTGGACAAAAATGAGCTAAAATGCAAGTCTGTTAAGCTTAAAATAAGGACAATTTTGGACGACCGCCAGATACTTTCAAAGAAAAGTTTCTACCAGTTTATTGTTGCTTCTTTGGCGAAGCTTCTATCCTATTGCAAAATGACTTGTACGCAGTCGATAAACCCGTTTCATCTGACTAGAAGCTTTTACCAGCCCTGGTTGAGTAGCCAGCACATTTTGAGTGAAAAAAGCACATGCGAATTTGACCTTCAGGGTGATTGTTGTGTGGGTAGTTTAGCTCAGGTTTCGCTACCCTTTGAAAAACTGATTTTTGGCTAGGTGCGAATTTCACGAAAGGTCTACTCGCCGACATCTACATTCGGGGGAGCTCTGCGCAGGAAAGCTACAGTCAATTTTTGGAATACATGAGCGGTTACTTCTGTGAAACGAATGACGGGGAACACTGGGAATGTTGCGATCAGTCGTTTCTAACTGCTTCATGCGAGGACGTACCACAAAAGGCGAAAGATGTGATGAGCCTGATAGTTGACCCAATTCAGAGTATCACACTTATCTTTCTGTATCATTGGTGTGTCGAAGTGAGTGCAGTGGTTATCTGTTCGAGTTCGGACTATTGCCCCATAACTTTTCTGCACCATACGCGTTCTTTTTGATAAGATTATTTCGTTTTTTTTTGCGTGATTAGGATCAGACCTACGTTTTAAAGGTTAAAGTTTTGAAAGATGTAGAGTCTTTTTCAAGCCTAGTTCAGCTGTCAACATGTTTTTAAGTTTACCCTTGATTTGTGATCACCAGTTACGTGAAGAAAATTAGACTATTTGATGTACATACTCATCCGCATACAAATTTGGTTTTGATGGAATACTTATATGTCCTTCAAATGAATGTGCTGCAGGAGGACCCTCATTTTCCAGTTAGTACTATATTTGATATGTAGTAATATATTATCGGCAAAATGCGCTACTCAAATGTCGTGAAACCAGTTGTGGGCTGTCGATGAGCTTTCAGGAACCTTATCTATACAATCAGATTACAAGATACTATGTTGAGGTTGAAGTAACAATATGGTTTTCTGTTCTTTAATTTATCCTATTCATAAGGCTCTTACTCACTCAGCTATTTAACTAACTTACCTCCATTTTCCGACAAATATCTAAATTATTTGGACTTTGTTGCTTTAATATATATATAATATACATATATATGTCGATGAGCTTTCAGGAACCTTATCTATACAATCAGATTACAAGATACTATGTTGAGGTTGAAGTAACAATATGGTTTTCTGTTCTTTAATTTATCCTATTCATAAAGCTCTTACTCACTCAGCTATTTAACTAACTTACCTCCATTTTCCGACAAATATCTAAATTAGTTGGACTTTGTTGCTTTAATATATATTCAATATACATATATATACATTTCTACACATACAAATATGTATTCATGCTTGTTCGACATTCTCCAACTATGTAATTTTGAATGGGCGAAAAACAGTTTTCACCCTCTATCCGGACACTGAAGTTAAAATGCAGATTACACAGACAGCATATAGTTATAATTAACCATTAATAAATGGGCAGATGCTGGATGATTATCTTGGATCTCAGATAAGATGACCACCCACAACATTCACTACATTTAGGACAAAGACCGTTGACTCTCTGTAAGGACTTTCTATATTTTGTCATTCCAACCCAGAACGGATCCCTTTTGTTCACTTTCGAGTTTGCTGGCATCGACTATGGACATTTCATGCTTTAATTGTATTACCAGCACCACTATTATCTCACCGCCATTCTTTGGGCGACATCCTCTTACCAACGTGGTTCTTTTCGGTCATTTACCTTCACGCAAGTGAGGCAGTAAACAACTATCACCGACTCCTTATGTGACTCGGTCGGATTTAGCTTCCATGAAATAATATTCAAATGTGGCTCATAATTTTCCCCGTCATAGAAGCCAAACTCTCATGAACCGAAAGTCCATCGTCGCCGGCATGAAACTGCCCACCATCCTAAAAGTCTGATGCCATGCTTCACAAATGAACCGGCAGTCAATAAGCACGGTAAACTGGGCACCAGCTGAGGCAAAATTGACTACAGTGAACGTTGTTAGCAAATATTCAGCCTATCAAGACTGCAAGCTGTCCAGAAATCTCCAAGTGATCCCACCATTCAGTCTTCTGAAGACATTCGCTTGCTCAAAATCGGAGTCAAACTTGTCGATTTTTTTCGAAAAAACTTCCATTCTGAATTCCTCTTTTGGGATGCAGTGATTCATAAAGCACCTTGGGTTGTTTTAATAATTCTGACCTTACCACACGATGTGAGGACAAAAGGGAAATCGTACAATCAATCAAATAGACGAAATTTCCTCTAGAATTGTTATGAGTGAAACAGATCTCGGCCTGCAGAAATTTTTTTGTTGTCTGGCTACTTCTAACATACTTGCGAATTAGGCGAAAAGTATTAACTTGAAGGTGTGTTCCATCGATGATGCTTCTTGACTGGCAGTCTACCGCTACCGACAATGGCACAGTTTGTGCAGGGGAGACCTGTTAAAACCTATCAGAAGATAGTATGTAGAGCAAAAATTCACGGACACCCAAGAGTTGAGTGGTAAACGAGCAAAACCACGGCAAACACATCTCAAGCATAATCTCTCAGCATTCTAAGCAAAATATTCGCCAACATCTTGTTTACATTTATGCTTAGAATGATGTTGTAGACCTGAGAGTCAGATAGTACGGTTGCACAAGGTCAGTAGCTCAGATACACTAATTAATAGTTTTCCTGTTTCCGTGCTTGATGTATGCCTCACAGTCATTTTATTGACCTTCGGGAACTTGTCACCCACACAGCGCTGGCAACTTTTCCAGGATCCAAAACATTCCTATTTCTCTCCACCTAAATAAAAATGACCCTTTTCTCAGTTGTGTGGCACCTGGTCAGCAATGTCGATTACTATTGTGTTAGTGCAGATTTTGCTTACGGCGAAAAGAGAAAACGGATGTTCTTTCTAACGTAGCTTCACAAACAAATCTTTTGTCTGTGTATGCAGTCGATCTGTCTCAGTTTTTATTCGTTGCACTGCGTTTCTATTTCGCCCCTCAGTTACCCAAGCGGTTCAAACGAAGACTGGCCAGTGTGGTATTGCTTTTCACATGCTGCACTAAGTGTTTGGCAGTTTATGGAACGGCAGAAAAATTCAAATTGTTTTCCTATATAAATTTTTGTTGACAAAATTTGCTGTATTCAGGCTTGGCACGACTATCGAAACCAACCAAATATTTCTATTTGGCAAGAGCTGGAGAAGTACTGTCCTAATCCGTGCCATGGGAACCCATGTCTAGGGTTATTGGGAATAGACGATCCCCTCGCCTGCAAGAAGTTCGGAGCATATGAAGTGAGTGATATTGCGTTTATCGCTTCTTAAGAATGCTCCCAGATGTATGCGGCAAACACCAATCCACTAAAAGTAAACTTGCACCAGTACTTATCTTTCTCCTCTTTTAGGGTTGTCCCCTACTCCTTGAGCAATAATAACCGCTGTAGAGTTTTGTGAATTCAATAGACATCATATGCCTTTAAAAGGATACTAACCTAACCGGCCGATCAGAGACTCCTTTTTAGAAGCACTTTACTCCGGATGACCACCAGTGAAATATTGTGAATTAGCTTATTTGTCTCCCGTTTGTCACATATAGACGAACTTGAAAAATGACACCTAAACGAACAGGTGGATAAAGAAAAATCTCAGAACTCGCAAGTCAGTCTGATCTGATTACTTTGAATTCAGGATTTCGTATCAATCTTTACTCGAATTATAGAGATGTGTGCCCATGACCAGAGGTTGTGATGGACCAACTTTCGAACTAGTGAGTTCTGTAGTCAAGATTGATAGGTGCGTTTTGGTACAAGTATCTGAGAACACGGTTGCGTATCGAACCACCAAAAATTTCAGGTTTCTTCAAAACTCAAACCAAGCCAGTTTGGAGACAGTTTTGCGGGATGACTGCAGGTTCGCGTTCCAGTCCAGGTGGAACCAATCACCAGGTTCCAGTAAATTTCCCATACATTAGCTAGCCAGCAGTATCAGTTTGATGGGTTATTTCACGACAGTTTAAGGGTTTGGTATCGAAGCGAAAGGTCGAGGATTTTCGGATCATCAGAGGTGGCAAGTCAGCGAGGTATGTTACGAAGTATTAAGGTGCAGGTACAAAACATCATGACGTAAGTAGGAAAAACAGATAGCAAACAGAACAAAGGTACTTCTTAGCAGAAAAAATATTCAGAATACAACTATGTGTCTGAGCAACCTGTAGAGTCAAATTTACTAGTGATTGGTGAACAACCTCGGAAAAAATGTATCGTGTTTCAAGGGAGACACAAACATTTACAAAAAACTGGGTGTAAACATTCGCAACATGTAATGCGTAGGTGTCCAAATTTCGGGAAACGCAGGCTCCTTGTCGGTGCTGGCTCCAAACTGAAGGCTGGTTTTTACGTATCGAAGAAACATGAACAGTGCACTTCCCATGGCTATATCTCTTATGGTGAAACCGGTCTGTTCTCTCGTGTTCTGTTGCCTAGATACATGCCGTAGCGTTTGATTGTTTTCCTCACTCGCTCCGTAGAAGACAGAATGCCGGTGTATTTGGTCTTCCGGAAGATGTGGAATACCATGTGATTTTGAAGGTTAACTCATGAAGTTCTCGAAATCCAGTACATCTCCAACTAGAGGGCTTGGATGATCAACATTATTTCCGCTGGGTGGATGAAGCGTTTCTGCAGAACGATGATGCCACAAAAGAAATAATCTGTGTATTCCAATGCAGCATAGTCCTCATTTATCGTACTGTCACAAAAATCGTAGCTTTCTTGTTTCTCTGGGCATCCAGATAGACTGTCTTCCCTCAGATTCAGAGAAAATTGATTTTGCTGTAGTTTCTGTGCAGTTGTTGGCTGGAACGCATTTGCAGAATATGTAGCACGTGATAATATACCGTGTTTATGTCTATGATCGTTTAAAAGCAGATTATCTTCGTATCGGCTGATCCGGAGTTGTATGCTCCATGAAGATAAGAAAGTCTCAGAACAAGGCTTTCCAGTGACAGAGACACTTTAGTTCACCAGCAATATGTGAGAATTTCAACTGACTTACTGTCAAAGACTGCACGTATAGGCTACGCTATATGGTTGCGCTATCAGACACAATAAATCTCTGATCATTAGCTCATCATTTATTGGCATCAGAAAGGCTTCTGGTCAATGTAGAAGCTTCTTATATTTATCAACTTCTTGAAGGGACCATTTACCTTCATGTTTTCGGGAAGCACTGTAGTAACGGGTTGGTTTTGGTGTATCGTTTAGCGAGAACTCACAATGGCTTATAGACTTGTTGTGAGCTTAACTCGGAAAACTGTATAGGGTCATTCCGTGCTTCAAGTAGCCAAACGACACATTCTGCGGCCTTGTTTTCATTCGGGTCGGAAACAGCTTTGATGTGGTTTGCGTGTGTGTGCATGCGTGCGTATGCGTGGGACTCACCATGCAGACGAAGATACAGAGACACATATTTTCGGATATTTCTCTCATTTCATGTGGAATAATCCTTCATATTCTAGAACGCGTGGCTATAATACGTGATTGGAATGTGGACGAGTTTTAAGTGCTTTGACTTGAATTTCGCACCTACCTGACCACTGTAGATTAGCGTCAAAAACCATACCAATAGCCCTTAATTTTTGGCCACTTTGTTATTACGTGAGCCCATTGGGTATGCCACCAAGTTCATTCCACGCCCTATGAGTCAATATCGTGAAATAACGACCCAAAATCGGTGTTTACAATACCTCGCCAGAGACTGAGATCATCGATTAAAGCGCGGAATAGCATCTCTTCTTTCCGACTGAGTTGTGTGAGTGGCATCGCTATAAGTCATTCAGGAAATTTGGATTGTCGAAGTGTCTTTTGTGCATACAGCCCTTTCGGGAAAAACACTGAACTGATACTGATTATGATTCAATTTTAATTTGACTGAATAGCAAAAATCTTTGTGTTTTACCTTGATTCTCTGTGAGCTTGATTAATAAAGGTTGCTTCGTTGACCTTCAATTCAATGGGTGGTATGTTATGCTTGTAGGAGTAGTTCGTGAATTTAGATGCCTGTTTGTGTTGAGGATTATTTAGATGGCAGTTGCTTGTCCAGATGGCGCAGCTTAATTTCAAGGGAGAAACCCTTAACCTCCGGCACCGCGTATGGGATTGTTGCCAAGTTTAGCTGTTTTGGCAAAAGCTATGAGCTTGCTTCTTATAAGGCTATAAATCTCTTAGTTTTTCATCACCCATTAAGCTCCCTCGTATTATTCCAGCCCAAAGCACTCATTAGGCGCATTTTTAAAAGCCACTGCATCCATCGGAATTTTCCTGGTACAATCTTGTTTACGACTGGGCGTATGTCTGGATCCCACTTATTTAGCCGCTTAACTCAAGTTTGTGGTTCCCTATAAGTTTTCTCATAATGATACTTGATTAACCACACTTGATCCTTATGGATTTCATCTATCTCCAAAAAATTAGGATGAATATCGTTGTGACTGTGATGATATGCATGTTTGGAACCCACAACGAACTGTTTGCGAGCCAAAAAACCCATGCATGAATAAGCAGTTTCCGCCTTGCGTGATGGAAAACACCGTGCGATGCGTGAGTACCGGACTCAACCAAGTCAGATGCATATGCAAGGAACAATTCATGGGTTTAGATTGTTCATTGCTCCGAGATGCTTGTCTTGAGCGGATTAATCAGGTAAGATCATTTCTGACATCAGTCATTCTCTGATCGTCTTGCCTAAGATTTTGAACTCTACCGCTCTAGCCAGTATGCTGAAAGTCCCTTTTGGTTAACGCCAGTGTACCTTTGAAGGACTGGTTTCCAAAGTGGAAGTGAATTTAAAAAAAACGTTGATGGAAGTCTCTCCGGTACTTTGGATATATCAGTCTGTGTAACTTTTAGGCGTTGTCAATTACACTACATCCGCTGAGCTGATATAGACTGACAGGTAGTCATAATTCACGTAACCTTTTATTGCGTTGAAAATTGAGCTGTTATATTTCCAGGAAGGTTGGACATTTAAATTCAACAACATTCAACATTCAACCTTCAACATCACCTTGAAGTAAGATGTCCTAATCTTCCACAAATCGTACTTTTGGTTTATCAGATTTTATTCATTTTCCGATCGGTTCGATTATCAGGTTGCTTTTCAAACTTGTTGGTCTGGCAATATATTTTGATGTGCGGTTTGTTTTGAAGACGTGCTTTGCAATGTTGGTTTTATATCCAATCATTTTTCACTTTGCCTTGACTGGACAACCAAGGCGGATTTCATGCTCCAGCTTACAAATACTTTCAGTTCGCATCTTTATTTACAAGCCCTTGTTGGTACCTCATGCAAACACCGGTTTTATGGGCCTACATTTTAGTATTCTGACCCAATGGCTAAGAAGTACTACTCCAAACAGGTAATGCTTTAAGGATCTTTTGTTTCACATGTTACAGGGAGCTCTTGCATATTGTAGCTTCAAAGAAATCCCACTTGGGATGAATTTCAGAAATGATTTCCCAACGCTCCGCCAGTAACTTTGGGTCGAATGGTTAAAGGGATCTCACGACGTGTTGCGGCGTGTAAATTAAGCGTATGGTCCACTTTGTGTGATGGTCGCAGAACTTCTTCAAAGAAGTGCACTCTAGCCTATAAAATGTACTACCTCAGGGGCAACGAAAAGTGCGTGGGTACATTTGTAGGTATACTAAATTATCTGTTCAAGCATCCTATTAATAAGCAATGTGATTCCATACTGATTTTTCAGATGCGCTACTGCGATGCATATGTTATATTACTGTAATTTGCTTACCTACGGCAGGATCCCTGGGTGAAATTTGCAACAAAGCTCACTGATTTTAGTAGCGTTATCTACTCTTTCTGGAACAATAACTTCGACTGCAAGATCAAATTTTTTAACAAACCTCTACATAAGAGTCGGAAATGTGTGTGATACCCAAATCCTAGGAGCTCGAAAATCGAATTGTTGAACTTCGGTGGAAGCGAATCAGACATGAGGGCAGATATGCTTGTTGGGTTAGTCAACTCGATTGCTTGACCATGGAGAAGCCGAGAATGCCAGTGGTTTTCTAGATTTAGGAATTTAAGCTTACAGAGGCAATCGTGAAGTCGCCTCCCGAATGAGAAAAACAAAAACAATGTAGAGTGTCAGCGGCCCTGAAAACACTGAGCTGAGATTTATGTAAGTCTTAGGAGTGCAAAATATTGGGCTAAACATACATCGCGAACATATTCCAACTGCTTAAACTCCATAGAAAATTCAAGAGAATAGCCATTTCACGGTCTGAATCCACGACAGCTCGAATGTCTCGATATCCAAGAAAACCATTACACTCACTTAGACTGAGACCACAATGAATGTGGAGGCATTATGCTGCTTAGGGCCAAAAGTGGTTATTTGGCCCATTATTGGTGGAAACACATGCTACATGGATCTCCGTAAGTTCGCATTTAGTAGACATAGTTGAAGAACAAACATGGCAGTGTAGGGATCGGTCAGTTCCTATGACAAAAGCTATAATTCGGTCATCTGACCTATTTAAAAGACACAGTGCTAATCGGATGACGGTGAATATGTGTCAGGAATGTGGCAATTTCCGGCAGTCACACTGACCTGGAAGGATTCTAGGTAGCACTGAACACAATACCTGTAGGTTCAATTCGTCCAGCATGTTGGGCATGCGAGCTCCAGACGATGAGCTCTGTTGGTCTCAAGCTAAGGAACAATGGAAAGTAGCTGTCCCATCCAATAAGCTTTTTGCGCCTTTCGGTAGCTCAAAAGAACGAGAAACCATCTAAGCTCTCTGAACCGGAGACCACCAATAGCCAAGTTGCAATGGTTGGAACTCTTCACGTAGAAATATTCGGAATGTGCCAAATGACAGACAGTGATCTACAAATGTCGCCCAGAGTGGAATAATCGAAAACCAATCTCATCTCCATATTGACCGGAGATCAGTAGAAGGTGCAGCAAACGACTTGGGGATGGCTCAGAATGACGAAGTAACACTGCAGATTTACCATAGTCAGAAGTGACAAACTTCACGGCAGTATTGGTGCCTGCTGCAGAATATCAGTTATCGCCTTTACAGACTTCGAAAGGGTGACACCAATATTGAAAAGCTGAGTGTGGCTCATGTTCATATGAACCGAGTTCGCTGGGTTGGGTTATAATGTGATAACTCTGCATAGGTGTTTCCATCGATTCCCAATTTGAAGCATTCCTCTTCATTAAACCCCTTTCTTCGGTTGCTTAAGCCTCCATTCTGTGACTCACTGACACCTTAATTTTGTAAACTACCTGACACTCACTACGAACATGAGTTCACAACCACTTGATCGCCCTGTCCTGTTTTGCTAACGTGCATGGTTCTTACACTTTCGACGAAGAATAAACAGCAGCCAACAGTACAGTCAAAGGTACCCTCGTAGCACAGGTCAAACAAATGATGTAAACTGCGTTCAACTGCAAACGGACGGTCACCTATCAGACCCTGGCTTGTCTCAGACTTCACTTTACCTAGAAAAATAAGTGAGGCAGAGGCCATTGGTGCATCTGTCCTATACTCTTATAGTGATACCTCTGATGATCACGGTGTTTCTTGGTCGATCACTGGTCGATTTCACTGGCTTGGAGGACTCGCGTTGCGGACACATTTTCCTTACAATGGGTTTTCGGACTGGAAGGGGGAATCCTGCGTTTACGGTGTGAAAAACAAAGGACAGTCAGTTTCTGTCCTTATCTTTTGACGGAGGTCTTCTGAAATTATGGAGTGTTGTGCAGGAATTCTGCGAGTTCACTTCGGTTTGTAGGTGAGAAGCAAACCCATATTTTATCCGAAAACAATCCTATGAACTGTTTACTCATACGTGCATCTGACTGGTAAACTTTCTGTTGATTCCCTTGCATGTAGATACAGTGCGCTTTCCGCCACAACTTGCGGAGTAAGCAAAACAAAATGTGATATTTCACAAGGTGTTGGAAAATTGAGAAGGAGTTCTGAGATTACGTTCTCATAAGCGTTTACGCTGTAAGGATGTGTTGTAATAATAATAGAAACACTCGCACTAAAACGTGGTGGACCTAAGATATTCTTGCTATTTTACTTTTCAGTCAATGCCGAGCGGAAATACACGGTGTCAAATTCAGAACGGGAATCAGTGTCACCCCATCTTGGGCACAGACTCCTACAGTTGCACGTGTATAACAAACTACCTGTCCCTATCCGTAAGTGAAGATAACTGCCTCGGTCAGCGGGACCCTTGCAAGATAAGAGCTTCGGGTACCAAGCATGATTACCAACGAACCAATCCTGCGACAGATTACGACTTGGTCCATCTCAAGGTCGACTGTTTGAATGGTGGAGAATGTGTTGCATCCGGTGACCTTATGAGGACTGCTTGCGTGTGCCCACAGTCACCTTCAGGTGGACTGCTCTTTCAAGGTAAGTACTGCTATACACCTTTGGATAATTGTTAAAAATTCTTCGACGCATATATGCAGCACCTGACAAAATTTCCTGGCCGGAATAATTTACACCACAGTTAGCCATAACATAAGGACCTTGTGTTTTGAATACTGGCAACTAGGTATTTGCTTTCGTTTTGTTTGACGACTACTTCTACTAAATGGCTGACACAGCAAGTCTGTTATGTTTCCGCATATGTCATATCACTGTCAATACCGTTCACCGTGCTTTCTTTCAATGCTGCTTTCCGAAACAGGGCAGGTATGTGAGTTTGCAGTCGGAGTTTGGTCTAGCTGGTCTAAACCGTCATTATGTCTGCCGCAACGCTGTGGGCACACGCGATACCGATGGCGACGGCGGAAATGCTTGAATGGAACTGGACCACACCACTTGGTCGGTGCAGGTAGCCGTTCCGTAGAATTAAAACACCAGCGGAAGCAGCGTGTACAATTTCTGCTACCATGCATTGGAGCCTCCGAGGAGGTTAGTTTCTTTCCTCTCACAGTTGATTTGGAAAATATTTCAATTTATCCCACTGCTAAAGTTTATTAGCTGAGGGCCGCTCTTCATTCGCGAATGACCTTGAAGGGATTAGGAAAAAACCCAACTTTTTCCATTTACATTCACAAAACCTCCTAGTGATTGAAGGAATAAATTTGGTGAATCAAATGCAAGACTCTCTGTGGTCCATGTGTTTTCGCATCTCTACAGTCATGATAGTTCTAACTCTGCTTGAATATATGTGGTAGCACGTGCATGCTGCCTAGCGGGATACTGGTCGCTTTGTAGAAAGTGTGGGGAGAATTGGGTTTTTGTTAAGATTTCGTCTTGGAAGTGAAACCAATCTATGCAGAAAAGCCGAGAAGTACTGTTATAGACTGCCTCACTTAGAGAACGAAAATTCTACATTAAGATTTCTCTTGGAAGTGAAAACAAACCATGCAGAAAAGCCGAGAAGTACTGTTATAGACTGCCTCACTTAGAGAACGAAAATTCTACATATCGCCGTGCACCTTCAGGATGTGTTATCCCCTCCCTTAACCTTGACTCCAAGAAAACCAAGCAATGGTCATCTCGCGATTCCGTTCACCCATTTCATTCATCTGTCACCTAAGCGTTGCCCACTATCTAACCTGTCCAATACAGTAAACCAAAATAAACCTTCATAAAACTAAGGAATCTGTCCCGCATTATGTCTTTCCAATTTCAGCATTCTATGTTCGACTGGGAAAAAGTTTTTCATTTCTCGGACTTTTTTCTCACCTTCGACAAACGTACCTTGTGTTCGCAAAAAAGCATATAAGCTTCTAATCCGGTCTAGCAAACCAACCCACTGAGGATGAAGATATTTTTAATGTATCCCAGTAATCAGGTCTTGGCGGTCCTGGCACGGCCGCTCATGGTATCTGAGACCTTGTAACTGCACTCAACTCCCGAGCCGACAGCAATTGGTTGGAAGAGATCCCCGCGAATAGTCGTGTAGATGAAGATATATTTATTGTACTCCAGTAATCAGGTCTCTGGCGGTCCTGACACGGCGGCTCATGGTATCTGAGACCTGGTAACGGCACTCAGCTCCCGAGCCGACAGCAATTTGTTGGAAGAGATCCCCGCGAATAGTCGTGTTTGCGCTGTGCCGCTGACCGGGTCTATTGACAAAAAAGAACCACAATGCCGTAACGTTGTTTATTTGCTGCATCTGCATGCACTCTAATGTTTGAAAGCACATAAACCGAGGAAGTTGATCCACCATACCATAGATTCCGATTCGTAAGATTCAAGCTAAGTTCGCCCGACGCCGGGGTTTTATCGGTTTGTGACAAGTGCCTGAAATGTTAGTTTGTGGTTAGTTGAGGGCTATTGACTTCATCGATTGTCTGAAACTGCAGCATTACCGGAAGATAAAAAGTAGTTCTTCAAAATGCTTTTCTCATACTGTCTTGCTCTATATGCCTTCACACGCTTATGCAAGTTTACAGCAAACCTGCACCTGAGTTCGCCACATTCAGTAATGCCAAGAAGGATTGTCCTGCAGCGCCCTTTCTGTTCAAGTTCATTATCTGTCTACTGCTTGGAACGTCTTTGCGTTCCAAGAAGTCCTCACCTGCCGAAATGATTCCGAGGCGTTCAGCTACTGATAATGAGCACACTGACGATGTGGCTCTTCCAGAAACAGCTCTTTCAAAAACTATTTAGATAGCTAATTGGTTCTGTTGCACAGTTCAGCAAGCATTACTAATGTACGGACCGGCGAAAGGCAATGGACGTTTGATCACTCTTTTAAAATTATTCACCCTGTGCTACCCTGTTCGTGCAGTGAATGAAGCCAATCCGTATTGTACAGAATGAATTCACTTTCGGGCTGCTTGGGGATCCCAGTCTAACAAGTCTACATCGTCGGCAAGGTCCAGATCGAAGAGGATTCTGCAGGAGAAGCTTCACAGTGATATTGGTTACCAGGTCTGGAATTGTTAGCAACGAGCTCCACGACGAATGGTGATACCTGGCACACTCCACTAATTAGAAGCGAACGCAAAAGCTGTCTAAACACTTGAAAGCAATCCGGGATGTCGCTCTAAAGGACAGGCTACAGTCTAGGGAATTCGCTCCATTCCCAGACGTCATCTCCGAAATACGTCGGGATCTGTCGAATGCTTATCAGCTTCGATATTTTTAGAACCTTCTATTGTTCTTTTTCCGTATTTGAAGCGACTTTCCCACATACATACATGTTAAGGTCTGATCAAAGCGGCCTGGATCACTTTTAAATTTCGATTGCTGCTCATGAGGATGCTTTAAGCAGTGAAAAATGAGGATATCAGAATACAATTATTTTGAGGCTGTTTGTGTATGATCATCTCCAATGACTACCTAATCGGTCCCGAAAATTTCCCAACTGATATTTAGGCGCATTTTTTTGGCAGACTGAGAATTAACAACTGCTTGGCGTAGCTGGACTTGCAGTATCACAAAACAAACAAATATATTATTTCAGATTGCTCGCCCTTTTCATACTTTTCTTTCGTCATCAGGTGCTTCCATGTGAGGAACTACCACACTGCTTGTCAGTCAGACTGCCGAGTCTGTTCTGTTACGCTCGCAGAGGTATGTGTCATAGTGTCACATAGACCTGGCTCGTAAATGCATAACCTTGTGGAACACAATTCATTGCTTTGCTTAGCCCGCAAAGTTTGTTGCTTTCTGCAGAAACTTTCAAAATGCTTCATTTCGTTGTCCTGTGCCTAACTGCTAGTGCTCAGCGACAAATATCTGCTTTCACTCCCGTTACTTTCACGGCACACTTGTTTGGCTGTTCCCCGTTGTTTCGATAGTCGCTGCACGTATCATTGGTGCTGCATCAGAATGTAATGCTAAATTCGTTCGGTGACTTTGTCGACCCTAAGCATGTTACCCAATTGTTCAAAGAATCAGAGAGCATTCTGAAGGAACACACGACGGAAACTCATGCATATGCTGCACTTTCGTATTCGCTTCACTGATCCCAGCTAGCTTTCAGACACAATATCCATCGACACAATCGCTTTAATCAAACACGTTTGGTCAGCTAACTAATAACCATCTTTTGTCTACTTTGTTTGCAGTGGTGAATCTCTTGTCCGAATCATACTAACACTGTCGCCCCTGTAGTAATGGTTGCCTGTTCCAACCTTGCATCGAGTAAATAAGCGAGCAGTCCACTTAGCTACCCTCAACGTTTGAAGTCTAAGGCCAGCGGAATAACAAGCTGTTCTTGATCATAAGCTAAAATCCCTTTCCGTAGAAGCATGATGTCCTTCAGAACCGAGGGCGAATATGGCAGTTCGATATCCTGCTCCGTCACTTTCATGCCTGCTTAAATCTGGTGTGGTCTGCAGTCTGCGAAAACGCCGTTCAGATGTAGCACAGCCTATCGATGTTTAGCTTCCATACCATACAAAGAAAGTAGGTGGTCTTATATATTTTCAGCCTGCCCAGACGTTAGACAGAAGCGGTCGACGTACATGAACTGGGTTCAGACCACGGATTTTCCGGTCAGTCAGTTCGCTTCACTGAGCTATCTCGAGCAATCTGCGAAATAAGAGTTTAACACTTTATTTTTTATCCGGAATATAGCCCTGAAACCGTATTTCCATGGCGCTGTAGGTGTATATTTACATAGAAAAAACGGCCCAGACGTCGCTGATGGTGCTGCTAAAATGTAGGATTTGTTGACCGTCGTCATCATCATTGACAGCATTACATCGGTGTTTAACACCGATGCTTCGCAGCCGTACAACCATGATTTAATTGAAAGACTTATTGTGAAGGAGAGAATGAAGGTGGACGGGAAACGAAGGTAGCACCAGCCTACCACTGTAATTACGACGTGCCCACATCTACAGACACTCAATGGGGCAACCTAGATGGAAACTGACAAGAATGCCATTGACATCGATTAGTGGAAATATCTTGCAGCGCATCCAACCAGGCGCAGTGAGGAACACGTGTTCCCATCCTCGAAGGCGACAACACCCAAACGTTTTGTAAACTTTATCATACCACTCTACCCGCTCAAGGGCTAGTCACATCTCTGCTTCTGCCACTCTGAGTTGGGTATGGAAAACAACGCCCTCTTCGGCGAAAGATGGCTCGGCATACGTAACACATGTTCCAACCAACGTAGCTTCTGGTGCTGGACGCATTCTCCAATAGAAGTAGCTGTTGCACAACCGAGAACTCGATTTCTAATTGCCTCGTTACAGATTCGCCGACACCGACCCACACAAGCTATGGTTCTGAGACAACGATTGTCGAACACCTGAAGACGTCTCAGTTTCGCTGCTCGAATAGGCCAAGTCTCACAGCCATACAACAAAAAGCTATGGTTCTGAGACAACGGTTGCTGAACATCTGGAGACGTCTCAGTTCCGCTGCTTGAACAGCCCAAGTCTCACAGACATACAACAAAACAGCCCGTACTGTAGCCTGATACACAAGTCACTCAAGATTCAGGGATATACGGCTTTCACATCCTAGGTGTCTCAACTTAGCAAACGCGTCCTGACCTTTACAGATACGTACATTAACCTCATCAGAAGTAATACACAGCTCCACAGCTTTCAGTGACTCTCCCTGAATGGAGAACTTCAATACTGTATCAGCCATCTGGATTCAGTGACGCGTGTCTGCAATTTGAAGCAAATTTTCCGATCAACACTGGTTGAACCACCGGGCTCTTACACACAAATAGCACACTGCAATCAGTTCACTTTGAAGATTCCTTTGTTGACCTCATCTGTCACACTACGATCAGAACTAATTGGACTTCCAAGATACACAAAGCGCCCCACAACTTTGTTTCTCCTTGGATTGTAATTGGTGTGTTCAGTGACTGCATGTCCGGGAGTATGACCCTACACTTTGTGGACGCAAAGTGCGTACCAAAGGACTTTGGTCAGTTCATCCAAAAACACCTGTGCCTTCTCCTATTCACAGACGAGAACAATGTATATTTTAGACTGACAAGGTTTTCTTCACAGGTTATTTGAACACAGGAGTTTTGAAGACCCTCC